TTATTAGCATTGTTCTTCCGACGTCTGATTTCTTTTTAAAAAATGCGTTTCTAAAGTGCATAAACTTTTGGGATTGACTGTATAGCCAATACATCCTCAAGTATACGACAGAATTTTCTGCGCTCAATTAACGTACATCGTCTCAACTTGTAACTCACGCAACATTCCGAGTATCGTTAAATCGAGATAAGTACACGATATGCCTGAAGAGCGATTTCTCAATTATCGCGTGAAAAAAAGTTCGCGTTTCCGATTAATCAATCGACTTCTGAAATCCCACGTTGTATTAAAATGATCAATTCTCTCTTTTCTCTGTTTGTATTTTGCGGGAATGGATGCTCGTTCGGACGTCGTTGAATCGTAACTTTGTCACTCGACTTGAATGAACTCTGATCAGTCTTCATCGCCTTTAATTAAACGCACCAATGTCAAGATGTCCGATCGTGATAGTTGCGGTCTGTAAATGCACAGGCACACGGATTCCAACTAAAATACAGTAGCGTCTGAATACATGGCCACATTTTTCGGTAGTTTCACCGAATACAATATGTGATCGCTGCTTTCGATTATATTTGGTGTCAAGAATCGCAAAATAAAATATTTGTTTTCATTCATTTATTAATCGGAATTTATTAACCAGTTTGTAATTTAAGATATAAAAATTCTATTTCTCGTAGATCTTCGTTTGGCTCCTGAGTCTCGGAAACAATACCAAGTGAAGAATTAGGATTGGTCGTTCGGCCAAGGATCGCGAAGTAAAAATACTAAGATTCGTTTTCATTAATTTATTAATAAGAATTGTTCGTTTTTACAATACATTACTGCATGTTATAAGATTCGAAACAGACAAAACTGATTACAATAGTAGTCCGTTCAGGGGATGAGAAGTTTTAAGTGATTATTATCTTGCTCCCACAATCCATACTGTTTACTTTTACTTATTATAAAATACTACTGTAATTTCGTGTAAAATTCATTGAAACACCTCCGGCGTGTAGAAGTAAAGAATTCGCTGGAGGCAATTAATTTATCGGTTAGCATTGGCAGAGATCGGAATGAAACGGGAATGCTTGTGTACGCTGTAATTAGCTGTGATCTTTTAATTAACATTTCTAGCCGGCTCTTCGGGCCCGTTATAAATTTCACTGGTCAGGAAATTAGTTTAATTAATTTCATTGTCTCGCGGTTATTTGGGAAACGTTGCGTTACCTTTTCATTAGCCGCGTTCTACCGAGATTTCGGCAACGCTATCATCGGATTTTAATCAGATACTAATTACGCGATGTCTGATTAACTTGTTGGAACTAGAGCCGACGTTCTAATCGTCTCCGTTCGAAATTCGGTCGTCGGGGGTGGTACTAGAAATGTGGGTCACAGGTCAAACGTCCTCTGCGGACGTATGCAGATACCGATATATTTTTCCCGGCGGGTGGAAAGTTTTTTGGACGACAGCCAAACGACAGGACAGTCGATATCATCGACTTGTTGCTGATGCACGATTCAATTACCGATCAATCCCGTGAGTCACGCGATTCCTTCCTGAATTTAGATTCGAGAGACATATCTAAACAATTTTTGTTTAGACTTTAGAAGGAATAATAGCTGACACAGTGCTTCATATTTGACGCGATTGTATGCCTAGAAAATTCAGACTGGAACTCAGGAATTCATGGGACAGAAAAGGCTTTTTCTCGTTTGTCTGTAGCACTGTATATTAACTCGAGACGAAATAGGGTTAATTGCAGTTCGCGAACCATCAAGTAATACAGTCGTGAAATTCTTGACCCGCATGCATAAAATCGCTTTGATCAGGAATTCGAAGAAGCTGGACGTTGTGTTACCAGCTTCCAGCACGTACCTTCTGTTCCTCCGTGTCTTCGTCCCAAACTCAGGATTGCTATCCGGCTTGCCCCAGTATCGTTCGAGTATCCGTAATATCAGAGAAATTGAGAACGGAATCTCGTGTCGACGTGTCATTTTTGATCGATCACGGATAATCGTGTTATTGCGTCAACTGAAAAATTTGATAACGGAATCTAAAAAGTGAAATACGTATTACTTCACGCAGTGATTCGTTCGTTAACATTCGATTGCATGCGACGTTATTTAGTCGCGATTCGATCTCCTCCAGTCTCGACAAAAATTCAATCTTCTATTAGCGATACGATTTCCCTCTGATCGTCTTCGCACACCATCGCTAAGACGTACAGATTGCATTTTCACCGGAGTACAAATTACCCAGCCAGAACCGTTCCGATATTAAATTATTCTACCGATCTCCCGTTTTCTCCCTTTCGTCATTCTCTTCTCACCCTTTTTCCATCTCGCGAATAGACGCCGATAAGGAGGGAGTGCGTGCAAATGGAATCGTTGAACTCGTGCAAGCGTCTTCCTACGAGGGAGCAATTCTGGACGCTCCTGGAAATATTTATTCCTCTCTCTGGGGTTGCGCATTTTCACGGAACGGAACGTAAGCTCGGGTTTAAATGGAAACACGCGGTTGCGTTTTCTCTCGTTACCGATGAATGAAAAATGTAAAAACGCGCGTTTATAAGAGGCGTTGAGGCTCTATAAAACTGGAGAGAAACAAATAGATTGGTTGATGAGACTATTCGTGTATCCGGTCTACTGCGGTGGAAGATTCTCTTTAAGGCCGAGATGCCGTTCGGTCTCGTAGTATCTTGAAAAAGCCGAGGTAGCGTAAGCAGGGTCCCATTCATAAACCTAAAATCAATGACGAATTGGTAGAAAGAAATTCGTGCCCGTGGATTGGCCGTGTTCTCGTCGCCATTTTGGTATCGCTGGCCAATCCCTGCTCTCGCCTTGTTTTCCAGGGCTCGTGTACTTATGTACTCGTGCTCGATTCTCTGTCTCATTTCCCTTTTTCTCGTTTCTTTGTTTCTCCATCTCTCCTTTTGTCTTCCCGCCACCTCGATTCGCTCTTTAGATTCTCTACTAATCTGATACATCGTCCAGCTTCTTCGTTTCTAACTATCTAAAGCTAGTCATGTCATCACTGTACGTTCTCTATTTTTCTTCTCTCTGGAATTGTTCCTCTACTTTCCAGTCTAAATCCCTTAATTTGGGGATAAGCATTCTGCATGTACCTCTTTGCGAGACCGTTTACAACTGCGAGTCGATGGTCTAAAAAAATTGTTGAAACCTTCGGACGACCCAATTCTCGTTACGAAACGTGTGCGCCGGCCGAGTTTGTCTAGTTTTTAAGATAAATGGCGCATTGCGTGTACCAGGCAGGCGCAGTGCGCTAGTTTAAACGATGAGCGGAGCAGCGAAGAAACTCCGAGAGCGGGCGGACACGTGATTTCCAACTCGCAACGGTTTTAAATGCCTCAAGCCACGTGATTCTCTGGTTTCAATCGATAATTCTTCCCCGGACGCTGGACGATTTACATTTTGTTAATCGTCTCATCGATTAATTAACCCTGTTCAAACCGGTCGACGATTGCTTATCGCAGAAATTAATTGCTATTTACACAGCGTACTTTTGATAGCCGTCTGGCCACCGGAAATGAAGGGATCAGGGGTATGAATCGAAACGTGAATTCGGCAAATGAAATATTTCCACATTCGATTTTTCTATAAATGCGTCGAAATCAAATCTACTGCTCGCCCCAGTCGTTGACAAATCACATTTTCAAATCCGATGGAAATAATCTTCTAGTTTTTTCATATCAGTCGCCTCGGCTGATTTCTCAAATCCGCTTTTTTTTAATCCCCGACGCGGCCACCGTGTTCCTCATCTCTTTTACAGGTCGCGAGGCAAACAGAAAAAGTAAGCAGAGAAACGAGATCCCTTTCTAAAAGATGGTTTTATTCTGGAATTAATTCGAAGCAGTTTATAACGACTACTATTGCCGGCCGCGTAGGGAAACCAGAAACGTTATATCGTTCGGTGACGGTATGAAAATGTAGGTGAACCCCGCGGCAACCCATCCTTCATTCGCAAACAAAGGTTCGGGAAAAAGTTTTTCGAAGCGAGGTGCGAACAATAGAGGTGCGAAAAAAAGCACGCGGCTCTCTTTTATTCCTCTCTCGCTGTCATTGGTCATGATGAGGGAATTTCGAACGTTGTTCACGAGCGGATTTTATTTATTCTTTCACCGTAGAAATTTCGGACGCGGTTTATCCTTGAAATCTATGAGATTTTTCGCGATTTCGTTGCAGATCAGTTTCAAGAGAAGGCAAAGGAGTGGAGCAAAACGTGGCGGATTCGGTGACCCCTCGGCTGTGACCAGAGGCGCACACAGAATTAGGGCAAGGAGATGCGTGAATATAAAATAGTGGTGTTGGGCAGTGGAGGCGTAGGCAAGTCCGCCCTCACTGTCCAGTTAGTCCAAGGCATCTTCGTCGAGAAGTACGATCCGACGATCGAGGACAGCTACCGCAAACAGCTCGAGGTCGACGGTCAACAATGTATGTTAGAAATCCTAGACACAGCGGGAACGGTGAGTTTTTCTACACTACATGACTCTCTTCTCCACTCTGCTGTTTCTTCGACGAATTGTTAGATTAAAATTAGTCCGGGTTTTCGCTCGACACACCCAGTGTAAATTTATCTTGGAACCGAGTTTTTTTTTTTTAAAGTAAAGGCGGCACTCGTCGCCGAGTAGCAATTCAAAAGCCATAACTCCGTATTCAGTCTCGAGCAGAAGGGCTATAAATTAACTGAACCCCTCGTCCTTTAGGAACAATTCACAGCCATGAGGGACCTTTACATGAAAAACGGGCAGGGTTTCCTGTTAGTGTACTCGATAACGGCGCAGTCGACGTTCAACGACTTGCTGGACCTCAGGGAACAGATCCTGCGGGTAAAGGACACAGATGACGTGCCTATGGTGCTGGTGGGCAACAAGTGCGATCTAGAGGACGAGAGGGTGGTGGGCAAAGACCAGGGCGTCAACCTTGCCCGGCAATTTAACAGCGCCTTCATGGAGACCTCTGCCAAAGCCAAAATTAATGTTTACGATGTGAGTACTTCTATCCCTCACGTTTCTTTCGGGTCTGATTGTAAACCGAATCAACTTTCGCGTAAAGTGCCGTAAGCTAGTGGTATAGTTAAACAGAACTGTGCAAGGTTTGAGAGAAAGGGAACAAAAAATAGTAGGTTGTTACGAAATAACAGTATACTTGCACGAGACTATTGTTGGTTTTTAATTGACGCTACGCGTGGGAGTTGAAGACCGTTACGGCGCTCCGAGATATTCTAATTGAATGTGGGAATGCGTTCGCCTATGTGTAGGAATGCGATTTGCTCTACTCTTGTTTCATTCTTTGTACAGAGTACGACTTATGATTTAAAATTCATTTGTTGAAGATGAAAGAATCGTTCGAACGATCCCTGCTTCTCATAAACCTTGCCGCATAAACCAATTTTTTGGCAAACAACGCTTTATCGAAATACTGAAATGATTACCAAAGGCGTGTTCCGAGGATTGATAAGTTTCTGATCGATTAACTTTCACTGTAGATTATTCGAAATAAATTTTTATTCACATTCACGTGTTAACTTTCGACGGACAGAATCTATTTACGTAAACTTGCACTCTTTCGAGGCACGCGGCCGATTCGTTTTATTACACCGGTTACGACTTATAATTTCAAGTCAAATAGAAATGAAGTTCGCGACTGACGAACAGCTAAAATTGGAATATAGTTCTTCTACCTCGTTAGTGGGAACTTTGCAAAACGATGAAGCGGAAGGAACAATATTTTACGCGCAACATAATTGCTACGTCATCTACGAGTCTCGTTTCTCCTAGAAAAATTATTCTCGTTGCCGCGACAGCCCTCCTCTTTTAATTTATAACGGCGTTCCATAGTTTTTAATGCCGAAGCACGCGTTAATAAATCGGAAGCGCTAGTTCGTTCGCTTCGGCAAACCGGATTTCTCCGTAACTTCGTTCCAACGAGACGACTCACCGACCGTGAAAACCTGGCTTGTTTCAGGTCTTCTACGACTTGGTGCGGCAAATCAACAAAAAGTCGCCTCAGATGAAGGTGAAGCAGAAAAAGAAATCGCTGTGCCTACTTCTGTAAGGTAGATTCTAGCAGAAGCCCGTACTCTCCTGCATGAACAAATTCACGTATAAAAAGAAAGAAGAAAAGAAAGAGGGAAAGAATCAACCAGCAAACGACCAGCAACAAATCCGGACACAGCCAGCGGATGACACAGGGGTGGGTTTAGGTGATCACGGAGCAGAAACTAGACCTAGATAGCGGGGAAGAAGGGGCTGATGAAACTATAAATAAGTAGAAGAAACAGAGATAGAAGTCGTGGAACACCGAGGAGAAGAAGCGAGAGGGAACGACCGAAGAGGGAACTATATAACAAAACGAAGAACGCGACGACGCGACAGGAGGTCGGGGAGGGACAAAGAGAGACTGGAGAAAACAGATGGAGAGAGAGTGGGTGGGGTAGAAACAGCGAGTAAAAAGAAATAACAAATAATGAAAAACTAATAATGTTGTATATACGTTGGTCCCGGGGTGGCTCGTGTGCACGCGCAAATACAAAGGGCGCACAAAAGAGTTTTTAGTGTTAACGAGGACCCCGTGGCGTCGGTTATCATTGTAGTAGGAGTTTTGCATTAAATAAATAAAAAAAGGAAAAAAACAAACGAGAGACAAGGAAGAAAGAAAGAAGAAAGGAAGAACGCAAGCGGGGAAGAAAATAAATAGAGATACGATTACTTAATGATAGTATATATAAATATATAAATATATATATATATTTAGGAGAAAAGGGGAAGGATGGAAGCGTGAAAAAAATGGGGAAAGTATGTTTGAACGTGCGCGTGTGCAGGCCACAGGCCCCCCCGTGCATCGCCCGCCTGCGCACTTCTCTTTTATATATATATATATATATATAATATAATAATTATACATAGACGGTACACTCACACACAATGAAGAGAAAAACACACAGACAGACAAGACACACACGATACGAATGATTATTAATTACTATTATTATTAATTAATTAATTATTATCGAAGCATCAAAATATTCATAAGTTATATCGAACCGTTTGTTTCTCGAACAATATATGTTTTTCTATATCTCTCCGTATTAAAGCAAGTAATAAAAAAATCTCTCAGTGAATGTTAAGGAAAAAAACATGGAAGATAAAAAAAAAGGAAACAAAGAAATAAGTCCAGGCTCTCTCTGGTTCTCCTCCTCATTGCTGCACCCTTTATTCTTTTTTTCTCCCTTCTTTTTTCCCGGTGGTTTAAGTTCACGTTCAAGCTTTCTTTCCTCGTGATAGCTACTGTCTTTGTACAAAATATATACAAATCGCATTCTCGGTGAACTTACACCACTGATCTTCTTAACATCTATGTTGCGTCGTTTTTAACGTCTCGAACGCTTTCGTTTTCTTTACGACTAGCCGGATAGAAACGCTTCTTTAGGCCTCTTTTATGCATCGGAAATGTACGACCACCAAAACGAAAGAATTGATTGAGCGAAACAAAGAATTTTATTAAACCAAGAACAACTCGTTACATAAGAATAAGCTGTCGCACGGAAGAGGCCTCACCGAACTCGTTCAAAGGAAAAACTGGCGCGGCGACTCGTACGTCCATGGACTACAACTCCACGTACCGTGACACCGTCGCAACGACGAAACCACCGAGAAGAATCCAGTAAGATACTTCCCTCGACCGCTCGGACAGACTCGTCACGTTGCAACAATTATTGGTCGCCTCTTCGAGGACCATCGGATAATACTCGTTCCAGAACGCTAACGCCTTGTAATCGACGGTATCGGAATCGCCCATATCGATGTTCCTATCGATGATCAAGATCCCAGGATCCTCTTCGGTGTACTGTTCCCACTTGACGTTGCTGAACGAAGGATTGCCGGTTCTCGCGAAGCTAGCCATCATTGTCATCATCACTTCGGCCATCTTCTTGTCGGCGAAGTTCCACTGCACGCGACTGCCACCCACAGGAAGTCCCCAGACAAACGGAAGCTCGAACATGTGAGGGACCCCGCCCCAGTCGGGAACATCCTTAAGAGCTGCCTGAGTCTTGGGCCTATAGTCGAATCTGTAAACGAACGCAGGCTTCTCCTTGGACACCTTGCCCGCTAGCAGAGTGAGCCCAGCTGCAAAGTTCTTCTCCGTTTGCAAATCCAAGTATCTGTCGCGAAGCATGGCCTGGTCTTTGCTCGGCGGGTGAGGCTTGTAGAAAAACAACACCGCCTCGGACACCAATTCCGGTTTCAGAACGCAAGTGCTGTTGTCTTCCGGGCTCTGGACCAGCGATACGAACTCGTCGGTGATCAACATCTGGAACTTATCGTATGACAGTTTGCCTTCCTCATCTCCTTTGGACAGGGTCTCTTTATAAGCCAGTAACTGTTCGTTGTTCGTGTGACCGACGAGCAGAGGAACAGAATTCAAATTGCCACCGTTGACGCTATCCCTCGGGTGAACGGGAAGGAACGGCTCCGTGGAGTTGTTGGTTTCGTAGTCGACGATGGGGCCCCAGGTTTCTATCGACGAAGATTCCCTTACAAGGATATCGACGTTCACGCGGCGGAGACACTCCATCAAAGCAGACGTGGGTCGTCGATAACAGCCAAACTTATCGGCGATTATGTCGACCACTGGTAGCTCGGTTTGCGGCGATCCGACGGAGCTGATTGCGTCGCCGCTCATGGCGATCGCTTTCGAGAATTTGCCTTTGCTCAGAGGACTCACGAGATGCAGACCGACGCTTATGGCACCGGAACTGTGCCCGTAGATGATCACGTTCGACGAGGACCCACCGAACTGCTGTATCTTCTTTTGGATCCAGTCGAGGGCAGCGAGCTGATCGAACATCCCGTAGTTACCCGGAGCCTCCGCGTCCGTGGTCGTGAAGAAACCGAGGATGTTGAGACGATACGCCACCGTGACCACCAGCATCTGAACACGATCATTTGTTTGAATTACGTTGGGATTTGGACTAGCGTCGGGCAACCCCCGCGCACGTACGAGGGCATTCGAGAAAAGAAGACGGGAGTTGCCCATCGCTGATCCGAAGATGCTAAAGTGCTTTCTTCGAGGAGAGCCAATACTCATTGTTACCCGGCTAGGTTTAAGAATTTCCAAGTTACATGTTCCTTCTTAGAGGGGCTTAGAGTCGTTCGACTGCGAAGGAAGATCGCAGTTTATATTTTCTGAACCGGTTTTTTCCCAACTTTCCGTAGACGAAAAAGAAAAAGAAGAAGAAAATGAAGAAGAGGAAAGGAGCTTGACGGAATTAGATACGCTCGAGCGTTCAGTTGACCTATCCGATTCGTTCTGCTTCAAACGATAGGTAGGAGAATGTTTATAAGGTAGATTATATTATAATATTGTCTATGTAAGATTTTTCTAATTAATAACGTCGTTTTTACATTGCTTTGTAAGAGTACGAATGAACGTAGCGATAGAGAAGAAGAGTTCTTAAGATATAGTTAGTTTTACGGACCCCCGCATTACTGTATAATAACAACGTTGTACCGTTTCTATAACGATTTTTAAAAGCCGTTAAACGTGTTCCCTTTAACGGTGAAACCCGCGTTGTTAACATTTTCACGACCGCCGTTTCTGAATTAGCATTTACAGCGATATACTTAGGTATATGCATCATGGATGAACCGCGAGCCCCGAAGGATGAAGTTAGAGCACGCGTAAGAAAACTCCCTGATTTCCTTCGATTTTCCGTCGACTCTCAACGCTCGCCTTGTGATTGATTCGGGATCAGGGACTTTCTTTTTCTATCAACTAAGGTCACAGTGTCAATGTTAAAACCATAAATTGTTAAACGATACTCGAAGAATACAAGATATCATAATGATTTTATTTCCCTTCCCTGTACCGTGATTCTTCCAACGACTCACCTTGTATTTATTCACGAAGATCGACGCATCCCATATGGCTGGAGTCCCTGTATTAAAGTCACCACCGTGGAACCACACCATCACTGGCCATCCATCGTCCTGCTTGTTGCCTGGAAAAATACGATTACCTTTCACGTCGTACAATATCAAATTTTAATTGGCTTTTTTCTGCGAAGAGAAAACAAAATAAGAATGTTCTTTCGCGGTTTGAGTTTTGAAGAACCGTCGAAGAATTCCGTAGATCTCAGGGGAGGCGTGCGTGCTCGCAAGTATGCATCCCCGTTTCCGGTCGAACCGGTAAATCGATCGTGACAGAATTTGCATACCGTCATCCTTTCGCCAACAACGATGAGCCGTGGTAAATGTTCTCGAACCACCAAAGAACAGGATTTTGATGTTAGTCAGTCGAAATTGGAATGTTATCACGAAGGGAGAAGACGGGAAGTTTCACGATTGGACAATAAATAGATTCACTTTGAATAGAATTTATCAATAAAGAGTACAGGAAAAAACGAGTGTAAATAATCGATGTTTCATTTTATCGACGTTCTTCGGCTACTGAAGAGAAAAGTGGTCGGAAAAATTCTTATTGGAGTTGAGCGAGGGCTACCGCTTGAATAATTAATTTGGCTGATTTCTTCTAGCAGTCGGTACACCGTAGCGTGTGGCCACCTTTTTAAAGCGTGCCAAGGTCGAAGAAAATTCAGGCCAATGCACGGTGGGATGCTTTAGATCGCGGACCGATAAAGGCATGCCGTAACGATAGCGAAGGTACCGGAAGCGTTCGGCCTGGTCTTCGTTATCGGCGTTCCCCGATGCTCGAATCGTCCAGGAATAAACTTTCGTGGGGATAACATCCGCCGCGCGACGATTCATTAAACTTATCGCGATTCCACGCGGCACGAATCCGGACGGAAACATTTTTTTACGAAAATCTTCGTTTCTTTTCACAGGTGTTTATTTTACTTTTTACGAAAGTACGTATCAGCTTTCGATATAAAAAAATACGATAGGTCAGTTCGCGAACGATATTTCACCGGTGGAAATTGTAGAACCGAACTGTGTACCTAGGTCAGGTCTTATTCAGTTAGATCTTTAGCTGTGTACAATGACTTAGCACTTGCTAAAAGTCAACTCGGTAATCTCTATTCAGCGGACTTACCGGTGACGCGAGAGATATTACGACCAGACCATAGTAGAGCGTACAGTCTAAAAATAAGAAGGCAAACTTGGCAACTGTTTACACAATATTTCTTTAGCCGTGAACTTTAACCGTCTAACCGCGGTCCGTCCGAACATGCGAGATTACACTTTTTCTCGTTAAAGAAAAAGATCGCAATAAAAATTAATAGAGAGTCTCACCCGCGTTCGACGAGATTCGGCGACAGCGAAAGGGGTAGCTCGGGACAGAGCGAGGGGGGGTAGTGGTTTCGTGACCGGCCTCACCGGTATCTTAACATCTCGATCAACCCTAAAAGATCGCGTGCCGCGACGTGCACCAGTTATTCCGTTACTCTTGCTCCTTGCTGTTTCTACATCGACCGGCCCGCCGGCTCTGCGGGATCGACACGATTTTCCGATTCGCCTGTCCCCTTTCCTGCTTTTTCCCCCCTGCTCGGCCACCGTGACACGCGTACCTTGCACGCGTTTCGTTTACTACTTAAACCGAAACTTTATCGTCGCGACACCCTTTCACGACACAGCCAAGACCCTCGGTGCCTTTACCTTAACGGTTCCAAAACGTTTACCGAGTTACAAATTATAAATGTTGCGAGCAAGCTGAAACTCGAGTACCGACAGTCGAATGCTATTCTTCTGCTAGGCAATAGCCGACAGATAGACAATAATTGCTATCATAAAGCTGTTCCATATGATTGATCGGCAGTACGTGTATCTTTCGTATTAGCTATCTGCTACATAGATCAATCTTAGGAGTACTTTCCTCGCCCACGATGCACTCGCTCTTCCAATTATTGTCTTCCCCTCGGAACTGCTTCTATTTTTCGCTCTCATTTCATACGCTAAACCCGTGAGCTATGTCCTCGATCCATATCGGTAACTTTTCAAAAATATTACAATCGGGACGAGGTTCTTATCGAGACATTTCCCTATGCTACGAGAAATTATAGTGTTCCAATTTTCCAGGCTGATAATCGCTTGCTTTACCCGTGTACGTTAATCTGGACGATCATTGGACACAGAAGCATGTAATGTGTCACCTGGACTGTAATCTGCTCCAAGTAGCTGCTATCGATAGAATCGGAGGTTTAACTGGAATCTTATAAGTTCACAGAATTCTGACGATAAAATGAAATAACGATTCGATAAGAGATTTTAATGCCATTTTTTAGTATCGACCGAGACGTTGCGGATGTAACTCGGGTTCGATTTCATTTGAAAATTTACGAGCGCCGAGACATCCGAAATTAGTCGAAAATGATCCTTGTAATGACGCCATTAGCGTAGTCCTTAACCGACATCCTGGAACGACGAGATTTACGTACCATTGGCACGCAGCCGGATCGCGTTTATTGTCAATCGCGAGAAATTGGAACGGGAAATTGTTTGATAGGTCACGATACGCGTTTTACATAAAACGTACGATAAAAAATTACAAGCCAAGTCTTTCAAGAGAAATTTCGTTTTTCGGTCAGTTACGAACGACCCTGGAAAATCACACGGGTGTAAAGTCGCTAATATTCCATGCGAGGCCGATAAAAAAAGTTTCTCGGTACTCGGTGATAGTGTAATCATAAGTTTTTCTTCTATTCGAGATAGCGATCGCTCGCTTTATGTCCAGAGACCGAGAAAAGAGCCCCGTGATCATCGTCACTCGCGTGTTCCAGCGGGGGAGACGAAACGTCGCGTTGCATCCTGTCGTGTCGAGTATCGCGGATCTCGTTGATGCGAGCCGAGAATTATGATTACGAGCTGGTGAACACAAGTCTAGCTCTAAGCAGTTAACGAGCTCAGCTCGCAATTAAAAAAAAAGTTTATGTTTAAACGATGAAAAACCCAACGAGTTTCTTGGAGCACTGAAATATCTTTCTTTTAATTAATTTTACTTACCGTCCGGAACGTATATGTTCAAGTAAAGGCAGTCCTCGCTGACTCCAGGATCGAGTTGATCGGTCGGTAGGAACTCCTTGTATAGTTTCTCGTGCAGTTTCGGACGATCTGTTATTTGCTGACACGAAGGTGCGAACTGCGTCGCGTTTCGTACGCCGCTCCACGTTGGCAGAGGATCGGTCACCGGGGCAGAAAATCGTAATTTTCCTACCGGCGGCTGAGCGTACGGTATTCCGAGATATTGTATCACCTTTTGAGTCGGACTCAAGTACACCTGTGATTCGACACAAAAAAATGATTGCGCACTTTCTGCACCCTGTACGTGAAAAATGTCTGCCATCTGTCTTTTAAATATTTTGCAAAATTGCATGCGAGATCTTAACTTGTTTACACAAATTATACATTCCGCGGAAAAAATATAATAGTCGAGATCTACCGATGAAACACGAATTTACGTGTGACAAATTGCCCTAATATACTTCCATACGTATAGTTGAAACTAATGGTGCCAGCCGGCAATCAAAGTTTCTCAACATTAATTCCGAGCAGAAATTGCGGGCTTGTTTTTTTTTGTACAATCAAAATTACATTACTCAAGGCTCCTCACGATTCATATCTAAATTACAATTGCCACTTTGCATTGTGCGAAATAAAATGCGACGATTTCAGAAAATTCATTTCCGACTCGCGAAAAGTACTCGTAGGAATTTTTCCCATTCTTGGTGAAATTCCACAGAAGTTTAAAACTCGATTCGTATACGTGCGTAAACGTTGACCCGAAGTTCAGTATGCATATTATCTGCATACACTTAGTCGTAACAATTGAAACTTACGGTGCTTGCATGTTATTGTTCGTCGTGTGGTTAAAATGTCAAATACTTACAGCATTCATTGTTCCCTGCGTTTCCATGTGGGACTTTGATATATGCCGTGTAACGCTCGTTTCTTATGCAAAAAAGGCGTCGTAAGGGAAAGTAATGGGTAAAGCGGGGTTCGTGGGGAAAAAATGCGGCAACCGTACCGCACTAATGATCAAACATCGTACGCACGCATTTACAACCTACCCCAATCGCCACCGGCAAGAATAGGGCAATAACATGCTCGTGCGACCTCGGTTTCCGCGAAATTCCAAGAAAATTGCCAAGCAAAATTCTCCAAGTGCATTAGCTCCTAACGTGGATAGAGAAAAGGTTGTGCATCTTCCATTACAAAAAAGATTTGCTTACTAGAAAGACATTGCGAAGTTTTATTAACTCATAATGAATTTTATTTAATACGTCGCAGTCTTTTGTGCCTAGTTCAGTGTTTCAAATGATTTTGTGCGAGCCTGATGAAAATCGTCGCACCTCTTTGCCGGCGACCGTTCCTTGATCCGAGATCTTGACGATCGGTGGCTCCCGACCCACTCCTTGCCTGGCATGGGTCCTCTGGGAGCTGGTCACCGGTATCCCGACGAAGAATTGAAGAAAAAACACGAAAAGTAGCGACGCGGAACACCTCATTGTGCGGACTGACTGACTGACTGACTGATTTGCCACGGAAACAATCGCCGACTTGGGTCTCGGTTCGACCGTCGCGTGACTCTAGCCGACCACTCTCGGCCAGCAAGCGTTCGGTGCTCGAGACCTGCGCTCTTTCACCTTCTTCCCTTGCCAAGGTCCTGCACTAGCCATGGGTTCACCCTCTTATGGGCGACGAGCCACCCCCAAGGTGTTCCCCTGGCGAAGGTTAAACGATCTTACGTCTCGTACCAACGATTAATTTACGTTTCTCGATCTCCGTCGTTTCTTGTCTCTGTATCGACTCGAAGGAAATAAAATAAAGAGACGTTTCTCACTGGAAATTGGAAAAAATTTTCAACGCGGACCATCGAGCGATAAATATGAAAAGAGAATATTTGTTTCGTAAGATTGCAACGCTTTATTTTTAGTATCCTAACGCTGAGTCACGCGGTGTTCATTTCAATTCGATTTGTCGGTCGTAGAAACGAGCATCTCCGATATCGTTCAATTTTCTTAAGTAAAACTTTAATAGATTGAGACGGAATAGTTATTTCGAAGCGGGAAAAGGACGACGGAAGGCAGGCAGGAAGGAAGGAAGGAGCGCGAGGAAAAAGGTGATTGAAAAGGATGGCGGTTAGCGTGACCGCAAAAATCGAAGAAACGAAGGGATAATGAGCGGTGCATCAGGTAACATGCGCGTCAGGCATAGGTGAAGGGTGATATCGTCGTTCGCGGATTGACGGGGGCGAATTAGGCCGATTAATTCTAAATCGAAAAGAGTCGAAGGCGCAGAAAGGATAAGGCCACGACTGTGACCTACAATTCTTCATTAATAATCCACTCGGTCCATTCCTGGAGGAATATTGATATGCGATAATTACGTGCATACGTATCGCACTTCAATAATTCTGTACAATTACGAATATCATCGGAACGTTTCTTATTAACGAACAAGGGAACGGGATACACGCGTGAATGGTAATTTCGTGAATAAGTGGCCTTGAAAATCGATAATGCGGTCTTTCGCCCGTTTCGCACGCTATCATTAAGATGCGATCTTTAGCAACCTCGAATACGTTGTCCTTACGAATTCTCCGTTACCTTGAGGCAGGCTTGAGAAGTAAAATACATCTGACTTTAGAGATTGATAAAGTTCGCATTTATTATAAAATACACTCGCTCTATACGATCTTGAACATCATAGCATTCAATAATTTATTTCACGCTTATAATTAATCAGAAGCGATTGTTAACAATGTAATTAAAACCGTTTGAAAGTATGTGGGTCTAAACCATGAGCGATGTCGAATTTATAAAATATTTAAATTCCGTGCACAGTTTGAAGTTAGCTTCTAGCATTTCTTCTGCGCATGCGTAGTCATCTCAATGGCGCGCTAGCTGTTAGTCTGCAGTCCACATCGGCCTACATCGAATTCTTATTTGAAAGTTAGTTGCAGTTTGGTTTGTTCCTGTTCCAAAAGATAAATGAAGTAAGTATATTCGAAAATAATGAAGATCAGAGGTAATACGCATTGCATACAAGCAAGGTACGTAGTACTTTTGCGAAATTGTCTGTTATTTCGTTCAGCCGTATAAAGACTGACGATATTTCGGGGGTTAACTTATACATAAAAAGTAAGTAAGTATAAAAGTATAACTGAAGCGAAACAAAGAACGTTATTTTGTTTATCTAAATAATGCGATCGATGTATTTTATGCGATATTATTTTAGTCATCTTATTTCAATGAACGAAATGATGATAGGCCACGTTGCGATCGTTCACTATTTGGCGGCGGGTATTTGCTCGTCGTCAGCTTCGTCTCTCTGACAAATATCTTTCTCAATTCTGTCTCTACTCTCGTACGCGTTCTCTACGAGTGTTCTGAACTTGAACAACGGAGATCGTCTACAAAAAACGAGATATCCAGTGGCACGTTGATCGCGACGGTTCGCGAAGGGATAAAAATACGCGTACTCGATGGTCCTAATTCAATGACCAGCCGGCGATTTACATGAACGGGTGCATGGTTCGGCAGGCGTGAACGGCACAGTCGGGGAGGACAGTAGTCGCATTGAGCTCGTCGCCGGAGGAACGCGTTCGAAGTTCGAAGGTAAGAAAGAGAACGCGCGCTTGCATACATTCAACGATTTTTGAGTGTATGTGTCGGCGTCGCGGCTGTTTGCCGATTCGTTGACTCGCCGGCTAGGTACGGTCGTGGTCGGTCGCAGCTCGGGTCGAAGGCTGCCGCTCGTTCTCTCCTCTCAGTCCGTCTCGCGACCGCGTGCCAACGGTATGTCGTTCTCCTCTCTTCCTTCCTTCCCAATAAATCTCGTGCGATCTCGTGCACCGTAATTCTATGTTGAATCCGGTTGCCGGTTTTACGCGACTCTTCGTGCACGCGACCGCGATATGTGAGTTAATCTAACCGGTGGACCAGCCAGGATCACGTCCCCAGTGTTAAAAATCGGTGACGACGGGGGAAAATAGGATCGCGGAAGGCTGCTCGAAGGGATTTGATGCGACGAAATGGGCAGCGAAGCGGAGGCGGAGACCACGGCTACCAACGCAGTCGATTCGGATGGATCCGTTAGCTGGGAAGATTTTTTCGGTAAGTAAGCTTTGATCTCGTTCAATGTTTGAGGCGACTCAATGCCTATCATTCTCACTTTGTATCATTTAACTATCTGCTACTACCTTTTTGATTCTTAGTTTGTAACCTTTCATCCTGCATGTGATATACAAAGTACGTACAATGAACACGATTGCATGTTCTGCTACGTTGCTTTTGATTGATCAAATAACGATGAAGGAAAAAAATGATATTTCCTTATCGAGAGGCTTCTGAGATTGCCTAAGATTATGGATTGCAGTTTTTAGGTTTCCGTGATCTTTATTTCGCGATCAATCCTGCGACAGTTTTTTCAATCGCGGACACGTGCTCGGTTATTGTTTGGGCACATTGTTGCGAAACGATAAACCGTTGGCCCTTCATAAAGACCTAAAATATTTTGGTCAGATTTCTGCCTAATAAAAAGGAACATTCATGTACACATTATCGCGTTGTCTCGCACCGACGATAATTTTACAAACGGTAATGCAAAGAAAGCTCTGTTTGTAAACATACGTCGCGTGTTCATTGTCTGTAATGCATTAGCGCGTCTCGGTTTCGAGTGGATAATTCGCCTCGTCTGGCCGAGGGTAATATGATGCACGCATAAAAATAGGATCGTAGCCGTAACAGTTTACGGGTTCAATATAAAACAATAACAATTGTCTATTTTTCTTTCCAAGAAAATTCATCCGCTAGATTGGAAATCTAGTCGATAGTATCATATGCCGATCTAATGGTTCGAATTTCAAAACGTCCTATCAGATATCAAATATAAAATTGTATAATTTACAGTGGAGAATTAGTGATTGGCGTGTAGGTGCTTCGCGTTATCATTTTATCGATACGCGTCGTTAGATTAATTTTAACAAGGACATCCTTGTTACCAAGGCAAGAATCGCTGACTTGACATCTTTCCTTTCGTACACATGCGTCGACATAATAAAATTCACGCAGTACTTCGAGCAAGAACATCGTGGAATCAGAAATTTGTGAATGGAATCGATGGCAATATCGGTTATAAATAAACGCAATTATGTTTTGCGTTAGAACGACGTTAGTTCGAATGCTTGTAAAGAATTAGTACGACGCGGTATACTTTAATTTTAGATACGCGCCAGTACCTCGCCGATGATAGGAATTCTCTGTCTTTTCCATAGTTATCGCTATCGTTGTCTAAATATTTGCAACAGATACATAAACTAGAAAAAGCTGAAGGAAATCTAATTAGAAATTATAAGTATGAAACTGGGAATTCTGTAAATAAACGATCAGCGATCAATTATCTCGCAATCGTTTTTAATAGATTATGGGCACGTTTCTCGAGGTGTGTAGTACGATCGATAAATCATCGTAATGCGCGAAAGGGGAAAAATGCGAGAACATGTGAGACACTACATATTGTAGACCGAAGATAAGCTCGGTGTATTTCATGGAATTTCTCTGAAGGAGAAAACGTGCACTTATTACGGTCGATACCCGTGAAAGTGATGTTACGTAGACTGTCTTCCTTATCTCTGGATTATCCATCGAATTTTTTTCAACAATTTACGCCTTTTTTTAACGTCTCTTTCATTTATGATGTTCAGTCATGACGATTTTAAATGGCAGATCGATGACTTCCTCTTTTAATACTGTTGTTCCGTGCGCCAATAATTTTCGGAGCTCGTGAGAAGCGAACTGATTTCTCCGAAGAAAGCTAGAAAATTCTTTTTCTCCCTAAGTTGGTTACACAGTCGGTGCTACACGCGTTAAACTTCGTTTTATCTTCCCGACGATAAAGCTACTCGGTTAATGGCAATAATTCTGTCGTGGACGAGACAAGAGAGAAACCGTCGCAAAGAAGCGCGTAACACATGCATATCGATGCCAATTAAATATTTTCCCAAAAACAAACAGAGCGATAATCAATGTTGCTTACTTTCTACTTGCAAAAAGCGCTCGCTCGTTCTTCCATCCTCTTTCTATGCGCGTTCTTAATTGAACGTTTCTCAGAAACTTTTGTCCGTGAAGGAGCGCGCAGAGCATTGAAAATTGTTTTCGCGAGACGTCGTCGTCTCGAAGGGAAGATTTTGCAAGAGGAGTCTCGCTCGTGACTCCGCGATCCATCACCAGGAGGGAATTTCTGATTTTCATTTGCATGCGCACGATAGTCACGACGAGGAGAAGGAGGCGGCTACTCGCGAGACAAGTGTGGCGAACTTAAGGATGCGACGCGGTGCGCAAAAAACGGCCGGCTCTGCCGGATGCAGCTTAGAGTAGCTTTCCTCGATTCGCCTCCTCTTTCTCTACGCTTCTCCGTGTCCCCTGTGTCTGCGTACGGCCGAAAATCGAGCTCGTTCCGTCTGAATTTTTATAGGACCGGGACATTCCGCAGAACAAATGAGATCGTTAAGACGGGTTTCGGAGAAATTCGTTTCGCAAGCATTTGGAGTCCGAAGTTAT